TCACACTGTTTCTACCAGTATCTGTTTCCTGCAGGTTTTCTGTGTTCATATATATGGGGCTGTAGAATATTTAAATTTAGCCATCATGTCTTACGACAGGTACCTTGCTATCCGCTGTCCTCTGCAATACAACACAGATATGACATAAAAAAAAATCGCCATACTTATAGCTGCAACGTGGTTCTATCCTTGTTTTGCAATGGTTGTCTTGCTGTCTTTAACTTCACCTTTGCAGTTCTGTGGAAACACAATTTATAAAGTATACTGTGACACACACTCTGTTGTGAAGTTGGCATGCTCAGACACCACTGTGATCAACTTGTATGGCCTCCTTGCTACTTTTAGCATGATCTTTGGTGCTTTGCTTTTCATTCTTTACACCTACATGAAGATTCTGCTGGTTTGTTTTTCTGGTTCTGATCAGACGAGACAGAAGGCTATCAGTACCTGCACGCCTCACCTGGCTTCCATATTGAACTTTTCCTTTGGAGCGAGCTTGAATAGGCCAATAGAGCCATTTAGTGTAAATATTGGCACAACAACCTCCCTAAGTCCAACCAAAGTCCAAAAAGATAAGATGTTATGAAACATGTTGTAACATTTTATGGTGGCCCAGTGAAGAATTTGAAAAGTGAAAGTACTTTTCTAGCAAAATACATCAATACATGTCGATATGCTGTGACATTTTATAAAGAGTAATAAAAGAACGACAACGTTGGGAATGCTTTGAGGTCCAGGTAGGTCTTTTTTAAGTTTTATTTTCATCATTGAACTTATTTGAAATAGTAGTTTGTCTAGTCAACCTCACTTGGTTATACAACAAAAGAAAACTGAATGAATCTCCATTGTACTACCTGTAGTGGGCAGAGCTTATGAAAATAAGTAGATGGTAAACATCTAAATAATAGTGAAAATCACATAGGACAAAACAGAATGTAGATCATATTGTGGCAGGAGGGGAAAGTAGTTGGAGGCATGTAACAGACTTCTCTGCCTCATGGTCAGACACACAGTCCAGCAAACAGGATTTAAGCTCTGAAATAAACGCTTACTAAGAAAAAACTACAATACATATGTAAAATAAATAAATAAAAAAACTTTGACTATGAGCACCAGTAACTTCAAGTCTAAAGAATACTTAATTTCATGTTTGTAGAAGGTATAATGTGGGCATGGTGACAGTTTAAATGCAGCCTTCCATTCTAATTTTCAGCTGGAATTATGAGCTGTTTTAACATTGTTGTCTATGAGAGACTTGGATGGAGGAGACTGCATTTAATGGCATTTATCAGAGAACTGTAAATCTCATCTATATGAGAATGACACTGGATGAAAGAGGACAACGATAGCTAAGTTTTACAATACAGTATAACATATGTGGGGGTTTTCTCAAAGGTACGAGATTAATTTCATGGCAAACGTTCAGGTGGAAGAAGGAGACATAATAATAATAATAATAAGAATAGGTTTGATGAATAAGGCGCACTTAATAAAAAATCAACTGAATAATAAAAAGTGTGCTACTGTATAGTCACATTTAATTACTATAAATGTCAAATAATGATTTATTTCAAGTATAAAACCCAGGGATTAAAGACGTTTAAATAACAGTAATTAATATGCAATAGTAAACCTCTAATGTGATGATACAAGTGAATTTATTCTGTTAATGCCACACCCTAAAGACAGAAGTGGGTGTGGTTTGCATGTCCTTCTCTCTATTAAAGGTGAGAAGCAAAGCCATCCAAACTTATCTGTTTGAGGTTCCTTTTTTCAGCTAAAACTGAAGCCATAAGGAGACAGTGTGCTAAGTGAAGACAAGAGGATGTCAAAGGAAAGGTAAAGTACTATTAGACTCAAACCATTGCAAAACCATTTTTTAGCCTTTTGAAAAAAAGAAGAAGAAAAAGCTAGCTTACGTATGTAAGAATGAGATAGTTTTGCACTGTGCTTTCCCCCCCCTCAATAGTAGGCATACACAGACCAACTTTAATGTATTGTCTTTATTTGTTTTGCACATGCTGTTCCATAGTATGTCAAAATAGAGCAATGAATGTGGTTTGCATGGAAGTGTGTGACTAAGTCTGAATGTTAAAATATATCATTTTAATGTTCAGACATTTAACATTCATTTTAACATTCCCGGATATATAGATGGGTGGATGGATGTTAAAATATTAAATACTGGCTTTAAAGAAAAAGCTTGCAGTTTTGCACAGCCAGCAAAACTGCAAGACATTAGCAACACACACATTTACATGGCATTGCAATAAATAATAACATAGGTATAGGTTAAGATCTGGTGGTAAAAACGTTTTATTATATTCTACTTTTATGTTCTGCGTATATGTGTGCCCTGTATCAAGTGAAATAGTATGATATGCCTGGCTTCCTCTGTTTAAATATTGACCTCCACAGCTCCCTCACACAATAAGCCCTTTCTAACAAAGGCTCTTTAACAAGAGTTCGTTTTTCTATCAAAAACATGCTGACATTGTTGCCCTGTCATTTTTCTGAATTGTCTGTCCTTTGTTTATAAATTAGGACAGTGTCCCCCACTGAACCCAACAGTTATTGGCATAGAAATTATATACCGAATATTTTTATGTATAAAGACACATAAATGTTGAGAAAGATCCTCTCCAAATGGTTTAGTTTTCAGGTTCACATCTTTTATGAGTTATAGTGTCATTTGAGGTAACAGCAGGCAACACGTTTCAGAGGAAAGTAATAAAGATTCGCCACCTGCTTAGCACCATATAGCTGAGGAAAGAACAAACAGTTCTCTTGAGAATATATGGAGACCAAACAATCACAAAAAAAGGTGAGGTCGAGGTCGAGGTGAAAGTTAATTTAGATCATTCCTGACAATATGCATCAATGGACTGCATTACTGTGTTAACTGCTGATTTCTGCTGGTCAGTAAGTGGATAGAATTACAATTGCACTGTCATTATATTCCCTTTGAGCGTATATATTTACTAAACATGTTTAAATCAGTTCATCTCTTACTCTGCATCAACAGTTGAGTGCAAAAATTAATCTACAGGTAATATTTGTTTTACAGAGAAGACTTCCAGGAGGCCTTATGCCACTGCACCACAGACACCCTTGCCTACCATCAAGTGATCAAATTCTGTGAGGAGTTCTATGAATGGAAGGAGGCAAGAGAGGAGGAAATTAAAAATATGCTGGGCATCAAAGACAAAGCTGATAAAATTAAGATGACCTTTCTTGAGTTTATGAAGTCCAAATTTAGCCAGAAGACTGCAGACAGCCAGTGTCCAGAGCTGCAGGAGGAGCTGGCCAAAGAGTTAATGAAGACTCGTGAGGGTCTGGAGAAGCTCAGTTTTTTCCTGGATGCAGTGGAAAAGCTGGCGATGACTTCACCGGATGCAATCTCAGAGAACCAACAGTTACACCTGTCTAAAGAAATCAGACCTGAAAATGCCCAGCTTGTCAATGCTGCTGCCTGCCTATTACTCCCTCTGCTTCTGGAACTTAAAGGAGATGCAAAAACTCTTGACGTTCTTGCATGTTTTGAAGTTCCCAAACTTGACAATGTGGAAGAGATGAAACATCAGCTGGACAGATACATACAGACTGCAGAGAAATTCTTTGAATGCTTGGGGAAAAGGTAAACTGACATTTATTGAAGAACATAGTTGTTTTGTTTTGTTTTTCTTAAAGACAATACACCCAGAAGCAAAAACATCTAAGAGAGCAAATATAACTTTTTTTGCAGCTTCATCAGTCAATCTGGTCTTAAGATGAAAATTGTAAATGACCAGAATAGGCTCCAACACATGCTTGATCACATTAATCAGACTGAAAAAATCAGGTAAGAAATGCCCCCACACACCGGTCTTATCCTTCAGGACCATAGCTATACCAAGTAGTAGCAACATCAGGAGGAAGGAGCATGAAAAGCTCAAGAAATGCGTAGGGCTGAGAGAGGAGCTAGAGAAGATGTGGACATAGGCTCAAGTTGGCAAACACATCGAACACCATCTAAATTTATATTATTTTTACCATAGTATTTTTAGATACCCACAAATGAAATATTAATACGCAAAATGAGAAGTTTTATATTAAATATATTTGCTACTAAGTTCCTTAAGGAAGCAAATTCATAGGTATTCATATTGGTATATTGGTATATTTAGTTTAATGAAATAATTATGTTTCTTATTTTAGTAAGACATAGTAGAAGCAAATTCAGACTAGGAGTTAGACTAGAAGTGTTTGTCTACAAGAAAACAGGATTCATACAACTAATGATGACAACAACAACAAAGGAAAAAAAACCCAAAAGTTCATTTAAATGGCACTTTTAAAAACCACCATTACAGTGAGCTTCCCTGAAATAATGAAACGAAGAAAAAATTAAGAGGAAATTATAGATCAATTAAACTAGGCTGTGTAAGACTCGGTGCAATGTTAAAATCAAAATAAGATACCATTTGATTCCCAAGGCACAATTTCTCTTTGACTGTATCAAGGCAGCTTAGTGCCAAAATCTGAACAGTGATTAAAACAAGATGGAAGTCAAAGTAAAACAAAGATCCGAACAGGTTACAGATGGCCTGGATGACAATCCTGCAAAATGACAACGTAAAACACTATATGTCACTGATGGTTTCTCATCTTTTTCTGGTGCCCCCAAGTGGTGCTTTGTTTACATTTATTGTATGTATTTTAATCAGTTCCACTATAACATCAACACAAACAGCTAAGTACAATAATCTACACACAATATTGTTTTGTCACACAGAAATAAGGCCTTATGCTACTCCAAAGACACCCTCACCTTGGTTGAAAAAGTCTACAAATTCTGTGAGGGGTTCTCTGAATGGAAGAATGAAAGGGAGGAAGAAATTAAAACTATGCTAGATATCAAAAACAGGGCTGAAAAACTCAACATGACCTTCAGCCATGTCACACAATCAGAAGAGAAAGGTGAAGCTTTTCTTGAGTTTATGAACAGTAAACTACCCAAGATGACAGAAAACAGCAGGTACGGAGAGCTGGAGAAGGAACTGGAAAAAGTGATAACAAAGACTCTTGAAAGCCTGGAGAATCTCAGCTGCTTCCTAGATGCAGTGGCGAGGCTAGCTGTGACCTCACTGCAAGTTTTCACAGAGAAGCAGCTGTTCCACCTGCCTGAAGAAATCAACCTTGAATATGTTCAGATTTTCATTGCTGCTGCCCGCCTATTCTGCCCTCTGCTTCTGGTGTTTAAAACAGAGGCAAAAGTCTTTTTCATTCCCAAAATTCAAAATGTGGAAGTGCTGGCAGATCAGCTGGACAGATACATACAGACTGCAGAGAAATTCTGTGAGTGCTTGGGGAAAAGGTAAACTGACATTTAAAACACATTTTTTCTTTAATAAGATGGACAGAAATAAAAACATTTATGATGGAAAATGTAATTTATTTTCCACAGCTTCATCAGGAAATCTTACTTTAGGATGAAAATTGTGGATGACCAGAAAATGTTCCAACATCTGCTTGATGAAGTTAATCATCTTGATGAAATCAGGTGAGATTAGCCTAAGTGTACAGATCTGAAGTATTCTTATTCAAAACATTAATATAACTTTAATTTTGTCATCATCAGGATGGACCCAAACTTACGAATGGTGTTCTTGTTCAGGGAAGTTTGCTGTTCCAGATTCATTGAGGAGTTCAACAAGCGAAAGTCGGAAATGCTGGAGTTTCTAAATGAGCTGCAAGGGTGTGCTGTCCAGCTAGAAAAGATGAATAAGGGGGCAAAAATTTCCAGTGTGGCAGGCAGCTCGGTGGGGGCAGTTGGAGGTGCGCTGTCCATTGCTGGTTTGGCCTTAGCTCCTTTAACAGCAGGAGTGTCTCTAGCTTTGACAATGACTGGGGTTGGGCTGGGAGTCACCAGTGCAGTCAACAGTGCTGTGACCACTGGAACAGAAATTGGAGTTAACAATACTCAAAAAAAGAGAGCCAATGAAATTTTGCAAAATTTCATGAAGGGTATACAAAGTTTCCATGATTGTCTGGAGGGTGTGGCCAGTCAACCAGTCTCCAATGTAAAAGTAAGTAAGTCAGAAGTGGTCATAGGGGTGACCAAGATTGCAACTAAAGCAGGTACTTTTGGAAAGGGTATTGATTCCTTTGTTGATGCTGCTTCTGCTGTTAAGATGTTACAAAGTGAAGAGCAGATCATCACAAGTGCTGGTAGAGTTTTGGCTCAAGAAGGAAAAACATTACGTAATGTACCCAGAGTAGCCTCAGATGTCCCAGAAATGGGGATAGGCACTGCTCAGGCAGCAGTCAAAGGGCCTCTTGCTCTCTCTAAAACAATGAGGGGTCTTTTCATTGCAGGTAATGCAATTTTCATCGGCATGGATCTCTTCTTCATCTGTAAAGACAGCGTTAGTTTGGCTAAAGGCAACAACACTGAAGTCTCAGAATTAATCAAAGCCCGAGCTGAACTTTGGCGTTTAGAGTTTGACTCATGGCAGAAAATCCATGATTCTCTGGATGAAGGCCTGAGGACATTACAGGGGGGGAAAAAGCAGGATCCTGGTTATGCAGGACAAAGATCTAGCTCTCCAGAGAAAAATAAATAATCTGATCAAAATTAAAAGTAAGCTGCTAATCCATCACAGGCCTAAAACAGAGAAGACAGGCAACCATGCATATTTACATGAAGCTAACCTAACAAGTTAACCTAACTGTATTCCCATGCTTCCCCTTAGTATATAATGCTTTATATAAATATTCAAGCGATATATTTGATCAATAACATTAATGAAATGAAAAGCTACTTTAACACCACTAATGAATTTTCTCCTCTTAGTCATTGCGTGTTTTTTTTTAATGTAAATCAGTGGCATTTCATTAGGGCAATCAACACTAGCAGTGCTTTTCTAGTGAAATCTAAAAGTAGACTAATTTAAAAAAGCCAAAGCAATCTCTTTCTTTTAATCTCAAACAGTGTTCTGTCATAAAGCTTCTCATGTGTTTGTGTCCATACCTTAGATTACATCAGTCTTGTGGCCACAGTTGACTATTGTTTGTGGAAGCAGGTTTAAATCACTAGGATTCCCTGGGAATCTGTGTGGAGTCTGTGTTTTGAGACATGTCCATATCTTCTTAACGGTGGTTTGAGCTTGTCAAGCTGAGAGGCTTCTTCTGGTTGCTTGGACAGGTGCACTGTGGAAAAAGCAATGTGTCCTTTTGTCACGTGTGGCTCTAAAAAACATTAAGTGTAAACGGTGCTGGAGGACTTTCAGAATAACATCTCTTGGAAACCACTTGATTGATTAATGTGTTAGGTGAGTTTAACCAGCTGTTGCTAATATACCACCTTCATTGTATAAAGATATTCAATATCCTTTCAAAAAGGGAAGTTGTTGGCATGTGTTTCTGAGCACATCAACACCTATTTTGTTTTTTCAGATTATGGTCCTCAGAGGACAGTTGCTAGAAGAAGATGATTTCATAAGCAGTAATATTGATCCATGTCATATTGAATTGAAATTGAATTGAACTGAAAGCCTTTGTTGTCATTATACATAGTATAACGAGATTAGAAACAGCTCTATAAAAGTGCACATGTGCTTTAGCACATTATAAAATCTATACAATAATTTAACCATACACTTAATATAAATATATATACACAGTACAGTACTGGATGACAGAGACAGACAGGCAGAGAATTGATGATATTTCAGTGCAGATTACTTTTTGTGCAAGTTTGAGTTGAGTATGGTGATGGCTTTGGGGAAGAAGCTGTCCCTGAGTCTGTTTGTTCTGGCCTGTATGGATCTGAAGCACCTGCCAGATGGCAGTAGGTTGAAAAGATGGTACAATGAACAATTTTTCTACATTATATATAATTTTATGTTTGATACTTTAGGTACCGTTTTAGAGGGGTTTTTTTTCATTTTGTTGCTACTTTTAACTCTGTTAATGATTCTAAAAAATTCCTCAACCACTCATCAGTATCAGCTAATAGTAAATAATTAGATGACAACTTTAGACATAATAATATTTCACCGTGCAGAGGCTACAGGAGGCTGTCAAGTTATGTAAGAATAAAAGACAGGCAGCAGAAAATCAAATGCTTTAATCTGGCCCATTTTGACTTATTCCTCAGTTGAGTTTTGTTGGTCCTACCTAGTCAGTCAAGGGGTGTTTTATCCTCAGAGTTCATTTGTAGGAAAAAGAAAGAAGTCCAAAATCACTGAAAGTATTGAATGTTTGTGCAGGCCAGAGTATGATGGAGGAGGCAGCAGGAGACCATGAACTAAACTTGTTGGATTTTCTTTTTCTTTTCTTTTTTTAGCTCATTTGTTTTCTCCAGGGTGACTTTCTTCATTACACTCCCCATTCTCTTCTGTTGTTTTACTGGAGTTTGACTTCAAGTAGAGGTCAGAGGTTTTAAAAATAAAAATTTCTTTCGGTTTGGTGACATAAAAATTTCTCTCAGCAAACAAGAATACTTGTTCACAAAACTGCCTTAACATGTAAGATTGTGTTCACCATTTTGTTTATTTTTTTTTCATTTTTACTTGTTTTGTTTGAATTCTAAACTGCAAACTGTAAAATATATGATAAAAATAATAAATGATCAGAAGCTGAATCACATCTATGCTAAGTGAGTGCGTCTTTGATTGAGTGAGTTTTATTATAGCCCATCTATGTCAATCTCACATAGATTAAAAAAGACACTACTTAGGGTTAGGGTTAGGGTTTTTGCGAGTCAGCAAAAGGGCCCAAATATACCATTTAGTTCAGCCCGAGATGGCCCAGAGACTATTGAAGATTACAATTTCTGTCTTCTTATTGTTGATAATGAGGGAATTGCTCAGTAGCTAGTTTTAAACTGCATTCATACACTTGAAGAAGTGTTGCAACGATGATGTGACATCCTCAGCCAGTTCCAAATAGATTTGAATGTCATCTGCATAAAAATGAAAAGAAATATTGTATTTTTCAAATATTCGGCCCAAGGGTAACAAGTATAAAGAGGACAGCATAGGACCCAGCACAGATCCCTGGCAGATACCAGAGGTAACAGGGGCAATGGAGGAGGAGTAGGTACCCATCATGAAGGAAAAGGACCTTTCTGATAGATAGGGTTCAAACCAGCTAAGGTCACTGCCCGTGATGCCTACTCAAGCCTTATTAAAAGGACATTATGGTCCACCAAATCAAAAGCAGAGGACAGAGCTAAGACCACAGGGCTCCCTGAGTCAGCAATTGAGAGAACATCATTAAAGACTCTCAGCAATGCAGTTTCCATGCTACGGCATGGCTTAAACCCAGATTGAAATTTTTCCTCGGTGTTAATTGCATCCAAATAAGTTTGAAGTTGGGAATGAACAATCTTCTCTGGGATTTTAGAGAGAAACGGGAGATTGGAAATCGGTCTAAAGTTACCAAGATCATTATGATCGAGGGAGCTCTTTTTGAGTATAGGTTGCACTACAGCATGTTATAGGCAGCCGGAACGCACCCCAATAGCAATGACAAATTTATTAATGATAAAATACAAGGCCCAATAACATTAAATCCATCTTTAATAATGCGAGGTGGAAGGATATCATGAACAGTGTCTGAGTTTTTTAGGTGGTCGATTATTCCCTTAAGAGTTGGGGGTGAAACTGGATCAAACTGATTGAGGTTAGTGGAGCATCGTAAAACTGGGGCGTAACTCATCACAGGGGTGTGTGAGACTCTTAGAGATAAAATTCTGCCTGTAAAATTATTTTAAAAATGTTCACAAAGAGCCAAGGATGCCGATCTGGGCGTTTCAGGACAGGGATTAGCCAATGAGTTAAAAGTTTTAAATAAAATACATGGGTTGTCGCTGTTATTCGTAATGACAGCTGACAGGAAAGCCGCTTTAGCCAACTTAACAGATTTCTGAAATTCTGGGCGGGTCTTTCATAATATATCAAAAGACACCTGGAGCCTATCTTTTTTCCACCATCTTTCATCTTGGCGGCAAACGCGTTGTAGAGCACATGGTTATTTAACCATGGTTATTTAACCATGGTTAAATGAGAGAAGCTTCTAGGCTGTTTTACCTTTATAGGGGCCATAAAATCCCATAAAGAGGAGCATGTAGAAAGAAAGAAGTTAGCAAAATCATTAGCTGGAGAGAGTCTCAGGGAGAACAGATTTGGAGAAAGCAGCCGAAAATTCAGCCACAGACCCAGGATTGATTATGTGCACAAGACGTCGAGGATCCTCAAAGTTCTGATCCATTTGCCTAACTCAGCATCAAAGATGACTGGGAAATGATCGGAGATTCCAATGTTGTTGATGTCCCTGATACAAATGTCCAGATCATAAGAAAGAATCAAATCAAGGGTATGTCCTTTGAAGTGGGTAGATGCATTAACCCACTGGATGAGATTAAAAGAGTCAGCTAAGGCTAAAAAATCCTTGGCAAACACATCATCTTTACAACAAATGTGAATGTTAAAAATCGCCAGTGATAAGAACACAATCATAATTTAGGTAAAGAGATGCTAAAAGGTCAGCAAAGTTGTTAATGAAAGTCTTATTATATTTCAGGGGATGGTAGATCACAACACAGAGAGTCAGGGGGGGGGGACCAGCAGGTTCCAGCAGTTGAGTTTCGAAGCTAAGGAACATAGGGGAAGGCAGGTGTTGTACTCGTAGTTTATTCCTAAAGATCACTGCCAGTCCTCCACCCCTGCCTGAAGGTCTCGGTGAGCTAAAAAAGGCACAATTTGGAGTAAAAAAAGCAGTAAAAAAATCGTTCACAATAAAAGTCTTATTCGTCAGGGACCTAAAAATTAATAGCACCATCCGAGTTAAATACACTGAGTCACAGTTGGAAGCACGTCTCGCGCGGCATAGGTTACTGTAACACATGCCACCTTTAGGAGCCTTAATCTAATACCGGGTCGGCAAATACGCATGTAAGCATAAGGGTAAGAAGCAGTACAGAGCAGTGAACACATACTGGCGCCATCTTGCACACATTGCTAAATTAAAGAACTGTGAAGGTGATCAGCAGTCTGTGCCTGAGTCTGATCCACTAGCCTTCACAGAATATTCCAGCCATCAGATATAGAAATGTTAGTCTTTATATTAGTATTAGTATTTATATTAAAAAAAGAGGTGTACAACAGACAAAAAAATGAAAACTGACCAAGAGCAAACGTGTAATGGCTTTTCAAAAAAACTCTTTTTCTTTTCTAGCTAAAAATTAAGTAGATAGATAGATATAATTTTATTTCGAACATGCAAATATAATTGAAATAACAAAAAAACAAAACAAAACTTAAAAATCATCAAGTTTTCATGTATATATCTATGTCTACAGAATTTGTGTGCTCGAAAAGGAGTAGGATGAAGTTTACTTTTTCATGTTCCTACCCCCTTATTTCAAATTTCATTGCTTACAAATCCATAGCCAGGATTCAACATTATTTGATCCATATACATTTAACTACGTACAAGTCTAACACATTGAACATACACAGTATGTTCAATGTGTTCAATGTCTGGGACAGTGGCGCGGCTGCTGAGTGAGCCCTCATCTGGGACTCTCCTCAGCTCTTTCTGGGACAGTGGCGCGGCT